ACGGGGAGAGATGGACGGGGAGAGATGGACGGGGAGAGATGGACGGGGAGAGATGGACGGGGAGAGATGGACGGGGAGAGATGGACGGGGAGAGAAGGACGGGGAGAGAAGGACGGGGAGAGATGGGATAAGTATAGAAAGAGTGTAATAAGCAAGAGAATAAGTGAGCAGTCTTGGGAGCTGGAAGCGACAGGCGCGCGTTAGTTGATACATTCACGCCCGACCGGTGAAGGATGGTCGTCCGCTTATGCTTTGCCAAGCCAATGGACACGCCGGTTTTAGCGGCCACGGGAGCGGGGTGAGGGGTGCTAGATCAGGAGCGCATTATTAGTGGGGCGCGGGGTAGGTAGGTAGATAGGTGGGCAGTGTGAGACCTTTTTTTTTTTTTGCTTTATTGGCTAATCTCGATCATTGTGCTGTTTTTCCCTGGTAATTATGATAGATGACGCACGAAGGGTATACGCATCGGCAGCGAATCAGGGCGGCCATGTGCCAAAAGCCATCGCACCGTTTGCCTTGCGGGCAGTACGCACTGCCACGGCCGAAGACACGATCTGGTCCGAGGTGAGCGAGCAAGCATTCCGCCGGCTTCTGGTCGAGTTGGAGGAGCGCACTAATGCGGTTCCTATCGATGTCGTGACTGCAGACGTCCAGCCTGATGGTCGCGCTGACGGGGATCCTGCATGCCTGCCGTTGAGCGTCGAGAAGCAGGTCGCAGATGACTTTGCGTACCTTGCTGCCGTTACTGAGGGGGCGCAAAGTGTGGCTGCTGTGTGTGTGGAGCAGCATATCTGTCATTCGACGACAACGACGACGACGACGACGACGACAAGGCTGGTCCTACGCATTGCTGGCATGGATGTAGTCGTCGAGAACGTCAGGGCGATGCTAAAGGATGTGTGCATCATACTAGAGGGCGTAGCGGCGTGCCGCCTGGATGTGAACCATGAAGGCCGCAATGAGATATTCGCGGTCGTCGTCCGCCAACACCGCCAGAAGCTCTTGGGCCGGATGCGATCGAGGAAGTGGGTGAAGCCGAAGTACCTGAGCAAGCAGCACAAGAAGCCGCTTTGGAAGGACTTTGACAACGTCATCCACCGTGCGCCACACGTCTATCCGAAGAAACGCGATTGTAGGACTCGAGATCTCGTGATCCAGAGTTTGACAGCGATGCAGGCGAGGTATACACGCTACGAGGACGTAAACGACGACGATGGCAGTGCCAACCTGCTGCATCTCCAGGATCTCGTCAAAGCGACTTATGACTTCTGTAAGCTCCCCGAGATTGCAGCGTTTGCCGCACACTTTGAAGATATATCGTCGCCGACGCCACAGGTCGGAGCAGTCATCAAAACACTCCGTCAGCTCGAGAAGATAGGCGCGTACTGGAGAATCAGCATGGACCTCGCATCAGCGGCGGGGCAATACTCGCAGTCATTCCAAAGCATACACTTGGCGTACGTGACGCCGTATGCTGAAGTCCCGACAGACATTGCATACGAAAGCTGGGCAAAGACGATGCACGTACATGCTGAGGTCCAGCTGCTAGTTGAATACGCGATGCGGAAACAAGGCGAACACCATCATGATGACAAGAACAAGTTGGTAATCATCTGGCCACGCACGATCGGCACGAGCAAGTACCTCTGCTATCTCTGCTATCTCTTCCTGACCGAGCATGGCGGGTTCGGGACTGCGCTGAGTTCTCACGGAAGACTGTTCGATCAGTGGACCGTGCCTGATCTGAGTGAGTTCGACGCGCAAACACAAGGCATATTCGCCAACGTGCTTGAGAGGGTGTATCGGCGTGTGGAATGGCAGCTAGGGTCGACGAGAGAACCGGTGCGCTGGCGCTCAGAGCCAATGACGAGTCGACAAAGCTTGATCATGCATGTGGGAGGGAGGGCCATTCCAGTTGACCCGCCTTTAGTTACATAGAAAGCTTGGCAGCTGACGTTCCGGCCATCTCGAAGTATTAGCGCCGCGCTACGCTCAGATAGACTAATTTACCCTATTAAGCGCATTATCCTCGTTCTCATTCTTAACCTCGACTATATCTCTACCTTTGTTAGGTATACTAATAGTATCACTAGATGGACGCTCGTTAAGCTTTGAAGAGGGTTTGGCGTAACATCTTCTCTAAAAAAACTCTAGAGTACCTTTGAGATAGAGATACGTGGCTATAGGGTAGCTAGTACTATTACTCGAGAGAAGGTTCTTTTAACTTCTTATTATATCTGAATTAGACTTCTCTATATATAAGTATTACAGGTAACCTAAAACACTGAAAAGAATGCTAATACAAGGCTAATATCGTATAAAACGAATACATAGTAGTACTTTTGACGATTATATAACTAATGGTTAACTATGATCTCAAATATCATTTACGATGTAGTTCGTAAGCGCGCGGCATGGGTGAGCATCGGATGCGAAGCTTTCCCATGTAATTTTGGAAGGAGCAATTCGTAACCGGGCTGAAGCTACGTCGTGCATGCATCGCTATCCGCTATCTATAATCACAACGGCACGCCGCACAGTGCGTCCCTGTCGGCGTATGCATGGCTAGTTCCCATGATGGATGGCAAGGTCCAAGATGCATGACCGCAAAAATCGTCCGGAAACCGCAAATACTCTGGCGAATGATATATATATTTGTCGAGCAGTCTCCCCGTCTATATCGTCTAGTGCGAACATATTGCAGTCAACACTCCACCTCGACTCTCAGAAATACCCTCATTATTAAATAAATCTTTGGCTTGCTGTTCGCTTCTACATACTCTGGCCCATAGTTACGATCCAATTCGGCCACTAACGCCATCTCATTGATCAAAGTCCTCGACCACTTACCACCATGGCTACAGCAACACGCTACTCCACCATACCCACTGCTACAAACATACACCAATACACTCAATCGACAACTATGGATCCACGCACTCCACACTACCCCCTCCTGTCCAACGAAGCAATTATTGCTCTGATGGGACTCTTCATGATGATTATGCTCCCACTCCTGGGCCTCATCTTCCGCCACAGCGGTATCCGAAACTCACTGAGCCAATCACTCCAGACAGCATGCAACTCGGTCTGGACGCTGTGCAGTCGTCGCCGTGCAGATGTGCTGACGACACAAGAGGCCTCTGTAGAGCTCTATACTGATCCAGAGCTGCTATTGAGAGCGGAACGGGACGGCTGGACGGAGCTTGCGGAGCTCAGGGCTATTTGGAAACGGGATGATGAAGGTGGAACGGCCGCGTAGTAAGAGTATGGACTCACGCTTCAGCTTTCACTCGATTTCGAACGCGTAGAAGTTGGGAAATTGCTGACTTGGGTATTTCGCGTGTATATGGATGGGATATATCATCAACATCCCGCAAGGGGTATCAGACAAAACAAAATATCCTCAACAGGGCATGGATGCACCAAAACCATCGATCCGAACGCAACTTGTCACGACCTCACTTAGGTCCTGCTATCGACTCCACACCTCCTGAAACCTTCTTCTCCACGCCAAGTTCCGGACACTCATCACGAGTATATTTCAAGAGTTAAAAATTTACGACTCTGCCATCCATCCAAGTCATCCACTCGAGATCCTACATCACAACATCCCTCGTAGCGCTCATGTATCTTGCGCACCTTATTAGCTTGAAGGACATCATCATATGAACTCGACCCTGAGATGGAGCTACACTAGGTCAGTCACATGCCTAGTAAAACATTAAAAAGGTCTCGCATGGCTAGCCAGTTATCCACGGTCCAGAAGCGAGAGATAAGCATTCTAAGCCTTCAAAGGATTTTGTTCCACAGCCTTTATTTGGTGGCCACATTCCTTAGTTATGTTCATTATATACTCGCACAACTCAGGACTAGAATTAGAAAAGGCTTCTCTAGCTCGTGCGCCTTCTTGCTTTCTCTCCTGTTCTAGAAGTGATGTATACCACATACATCCATGCACACACCCATGCACATATCCTGATGCTTACCACCACAACCCCACCAAGCCTTACAAGCCCTTCAAACCCTCTTAGCCCTTTAAACCCTCTCAGCCCTTTAAACCCTCTAGGCCCTTCAAACCCTCTAGGCCCTTTAAACCTTCTAAGCCCTTCAAACCCTCTAAGCCCTTCAAACCCTCTAAGCCCTTCAAACCCTCTAAGCCCTTCAAACCCTCTCAGCCCTTCAAACCCTCTAAGCCCTACAGCCCACCACACTACACTACATTACACTACACTACACCTAGCCCACTAAGCCTCAAACACACTACCACCACATCCACCACCTATACCTTACACCACCACCCCTCTAAGCGCCATTACCTCGTGCACTAAACAGCTACCTATATATATATATATATACTAATACTTACATAGATATATCCAACCAACCAACCAACCAATGAAAAGAAAGGAGTAACAAACAAACGAACGGACGGAAACTATACACCGATCTGATAGGCATAGTTGACGTAGTTGACGCAGTCAACGGGCATAGGTAGAAGACCTGTCAGCATCAGAGTAACGAGGCAGGCGGACTGGAGGGATGGGACCTGAGAGTTAAGCCCGGGCGGCGCGGAAGGAGCGGATGCATGGAGTAGGATGTATGATGAATGGAGTAGGACAGGGGGCTAACAGCAGGACAGGCTTACAAGCTTACAACCAGCTAATCCACGTCCGTGTAACTAAACCGAGGGCTGCAGTACGTGTAACAAGTGGGTCATCGGCCGTACGAGGCCTCGCCAGCATTAGATAGTGCCGCGTGCCCCCCCTTAGGGGGGCTCTACGACTAGGCAGTAAATGAATAAACTAGCCAACCAACCAATCAATACAAGCAGGACAGGCTTACAAGCAGGACAGACATGGAGCAGGACAGACATGCATGCAGTGCAGCAGGATAGACATTCATGCATACATACATATATCAACAACATGTATGACCATACAGCATGCACATCCACATCATCGCCATCTGAGTATCTGAGCATCTGAGTATTGTATCTTGAATGTTCTGTCTGTCTGATTGTGATATTGAGATCTGGCCCAGTTGGACAGAACGTCATATGGGAAATGTGTTCCCCCTCTTCCTCTCCCTCCTCCCTCCTCCCTCCCGGTACGCACTCTAGATTGACTCGCCTGCTGACTATCTCTCTCTCTCTCTCTCGCTCACAAAGTGTTCGTCGTCACACATACGATGCCCTGCCATGCCATACCATACCAAACCAAACCATACATAAACAATCATGTCATGTCGTTACAAGAAAAGGGTGTCTTGTCATGCGGAAAACGCTATGATCGCTCAAAAAGACAAAGAAATGAGGTCCCGCCCAACCGCAACCAGTATATAATTCCGTGGACCGCCGACACAATGATAATACTCGTACATATCAACCCAGCAAAACAATGTTTCCGAAACATTTTCAAAAAATGTCAACCCCTTCCTATACACGACAAAGTATAGCCAGAATCTAATTATAAGCGTCCCGAATCTTCGCGTATAGCGCCGTGTCCAGGAAGTTGTAGTGCGGATCGCTGAAGCAGAAGGGCGCGCGCAACAGCGTCTCCGCCGTCGGCCTCTCCATAGTGTTAATTGTGAAGCAATCGTACATGAAGCTCAGAGCCTGCGGCGTGATCTGGGAGCTCACATCGTCTGGAATCGGCGGTGCTTGGTTCAAGGATCCAAGCTTGTAGATGGCACCAATAGCCTCCTCCTTGGACCAGGGTCGACGACCAGCAAACATCTCGAGCACGACGCAGCCGAGAGACCAGATGTCTATTTTGGCTGAATACCCTTCGCCTTGGGCGCGGATGACCTCCGGGGCCATCCAGAAGACAGAACCTTGCATGGAATTCGAGACGTCGTTGCCGTAAATGTTATCTGTTTTCTTTGAGATGCCAAAGTCGGAAATCTTACAAGTCCCGTCGAGGTCGAGCAGGATGTTATCAGCTTTGAGGTCGCGATGCAAGATGCCTTGGCCGTGGAGATATGCAAGCCCGAGGAGGGTTTGGCGAGTGAGACTAGAAACTATCTTCTCTTCGAAACGGCCGTGTTTGCGCAGACAAGAGCCGACGCTGCCACCAGAGATATACTCGAGGAAGATGGAAATGGACATTTCCTTGCGCTCGCATCCAAGGTATTGCACGATGTTAGGATGGTCGAGATGTTGCATCGTGTCGATCTCAATGTCGAGTGACTTCACGAGCTCGCGCATCTTCTCCTTGTCTTGACCTGCAGCTTGCTGTTTGACTTCGACTTGTTTGACGGCAAGAAGTTCACCGGTGGTCAAGTTCATGCCGAGGTACACGCGACCAAACGTGCCTTTGCCAATGAGTTGACCCTTGACCCATTTGAAGGTCTGCTGGCGTTGTGGAACAGGAATCTGATCTTGCGGGATTGTATCGAGTGGAATCAACTTACTCTGTCGTGAAGGCTTGACCTGCTCAATCTTGGCGTTGAACATTTTCGTGCTCTTCCGACGCGTGATATCTCCAGACTTGATAGTGCTGATCCTCGCTGGTCCTGGCATGGACCTCTTGTCAGGGTGCTGGTATGCGCCCTTCACAACCTCACGGATGGACTTTGATCTGTTCAACCCACCCGAACGACGAATATTGCGCTGCGCCACTGTCTTGTAAGTATCGCCCCTCTTGAGTGTAGACTCGTTTGAGCCCAGCACGTCGCCCTCGTCATCAGCGGATGACATTGGCGTCGTCGCGCGGCTGACGTTTGTCGAAGACTTATTGCTAGCTTCTGCTCCACCTCCGAGCGGCGAGCTGGGTGGTGAATTGACCTCGTCTTCGATGGATTGATCGAGATTGACGTTGGGAAAGAACTCGTCGAGATGCTCTACAAGCGCTTCAGCCGGAGGTCTGTTGGCCCATATGTTTTGTGTAAATGTTGAGCCGCGTCGACCGAAATCCGGCTCTTCGTGTGGTGTATCGATACTGCTTGATGGAAGGGCGGACTGTTTTGACTCTATCTCGGTACCGTCTGTAGAAGCACTCTTAGTCAAGGCAGTCCTCTCGGGAGATTCAAATGCCAGTTTGGATTTTGATGTTTCCAATGTCAAAGATGGTCTTTGGCTCGAGAAATCATCAGCCATGGCAGCCTTGCTCTTGGATGGTGTTGGTGGCATTGTCTTGGCCGTCTTGGCGAGTGGCATGGCAAAAAGACCGTCATCAGACTCCTCGTCCGAATCCGACAAGTCATCGGTCGAGTTTGTGGCAAAAGGAACATGAGACTCCTGAAAATCAATGGTGCCGACGTAGTGTGAGATGCGGGACGACTCGCGTGACAGCGCATTTCTTGGCGGATGCGATGAAGAGGGACTTATATCTGGTGTACGTAACCTGGGTTGGGGCTCTCTGAGCCTGGCGACAGTTGGATTGGGCTGCGTCTGCAAAGTAAGGGCGGGCTTGCTGTCTAAAGCTAGGTCTTCTGGAAAATCATCTTCATAGTCAGGAATCTTGAACGCAACATTTCCTTTGCTCATGGTGAAGCCGGGACTACGAGGAGACCCACCTGGACTCGTGCCTCTTGCAGATGCACTCTGTGAGTTGTATTCGATCGATGCCAATGCCCCAGGGCGTCTTGACTTGGCGGATGTCTCCTCCCGTGATTGTGACGAGGATGGTCTGGAATTGTTTTTGGCTCGTTCTGGAGCTCCGACAAGCGCCCCAACATTTCCTGCGCCAGCCAGTGCGGCACTAATATGGCTGAGGCCTGCGACGCTTGATGGGATTGCTTTTCGACGGTTGGGGTCAATCGAGGCGGCAGAATCACCGGATTTTCGATTCTCCGAGCTACCGCTGCTACGCTTAGTCAACGAGTTCGCCTTGATGAGAGTGCTGGAATCTGGTGGCACCGGTGGTGGCTCCCTCTGTGGTACCAGCTTCTTCTTCGTCCTGGCTTCCTCAGATGGTTTCTGGCTGTCTTCGTATGGCGAGTCTCGTCGCTCGTCAAAATTGATGATACCCGGACCTCTGATTCCTGGAGAATCTATGGTCGACTCTCTCTTTAACTTCTGCCGACGCTCTTGGAGGTAGTGATCCTGTTTGCGCTGCGCCTCTTGTCGGTAGCGCTCGGATTCGGCGGAAAGATCGCGACGCTCCACTTCTGTCCATTCTCTCTCTTCGCCAACGTCCCAAGTGCGATCCGTCTTTGAACGCGCGCTCGAGGGCTCGGCGGATATGTCACCATTCTTACCCAAGTTCGATCGCAGGACCTTATTTTCTGGCACCAGAGTCGACTCACCGGAGCGTGTTCCGCTTGGAGAGTCAGGATCGTGAGTACCCCTGACACGATTGAAAAGAGCGTCATCGCGCGGCTTTTCAAAAGTAGCCCGACCGAACGGTGATGTAAGCCCCCCATGAGCAAACGCAAGACCGGAACCTGCCGAGTGTGGGAAGTAGTTCGGAGCGCTGACCAGAATCTTGAGTCCTGAAACTGGATCTCCATGTGACTCGCGATAGCGGAGAAGCTTCTTATCGGACAAAGGGTCATCGTGCTCTGTTTGACCGGGCGAGGTTAGGTAGTAGGATACGTCCATTGTGAATGGAATCCCAAGGCCATCACAGATTGCCTCCTTCATTGCGGAAGCGGATTGGCAATCCGTGATATCGATCAGGCGGTAGTTCCACCCATCGGGTGTGACGAATGCGAACCTACGTGGTTCAATGTCTCTGTTCTTGGAGCGTGTTCTAGAAATGCCCTTGTCCTCCGAACGATTTGAGGTGGGCCGATCGTTCAGCGAGACGTCGCTGGAGTTCTTGAGGAAAGAAGAACCGTATGGCGTAGTTCGCGCCTGATTAGGGCTCGACTCGCCATCTAGACTCGATTCGTCCGGCGATGGCTCTGCCGGCTTATTTCGCCGGCTGAAAATCTTCTGCAATGAAAATTTATGTTGACTGGTAGCACTGGGTAGCTCGTTGCTCATGGATTGTTCCATCGGGTGCGAGGTAGGGTGGCCATTTCTGTGATCCTTGCTAGCCTTTGCCGACGTCGGGCCTCCAGCTAGGTTTTGGGTGACTACAGGGTTAGATTCGGAGCTGTTGCGACGATTGGGTTGGTAGTAACGGTTGGAGGGCGCACCATTACTGCTGTTGTTCTGCAATCGCACTGCGGTCAAGCCTGGGCTCTGCTGTGGGCTTGCAGACTTGAGCTGGTCACGATGATTGAACGAGCCACCTGCGCTATGGTCACCAGAGCCGCTTGGGCTCTGAGGCTTGGGCCATGGTCCAAGGTTTTTTTCTCCAAGAATCCTGAGAGCCTTATCAGGTATCCCTCCCTGTCTCTTGTCGCCCTTCCTCAAACCCGACGAAGCATCCTCGAAATCACTCGACTGTTGACTTTGATGGTTTGATGGCGTGCTGACATTGCGCTGTTGGGTTGAATAGCGGCGAACGATTCCTGCGGGCGACTGGCCCGGAGCTGGCATACCAAATCCAGGACTTTGTTCGCCGTCTCCAGCAGTTGTAGGGGTAAAGTTTTGATTTCTCAGATTTGGCGAGTTCTCTAGGGTGCCGTCAGTACCAGCACTGGTCAGATACTGAGAAGTTTGTCGGCCCGGGATTCTGATGTGGCTTTGTGGAGTGTTTTCCACAATGCTCCTTACGAGCCTCCGCAAACGTCGACCCTCATGTCTCTCCCGTTCTTGATCCCAGCCGGTGCCACTCGAGGTACACTGCTGCGCTAGCTTGGGGTAGAGCACCTGATGCATCATCGCAACGTTCGTCTTTGAACCATGCCCTCGTCCAATCTCCAAGAACTGTGCGCCGAATAGATTCATGTGTTTGAACGTCTCTTGCCAATCCCTTGAAAAGTCGTTTTCAATGAGTAATTGAACCACTCGGTCCATAGGCCATTCAGCCCCTTGACCTGAAGGTGAAACTGGTGTGTTTCCTTGGCGTGCTGTGCTGTCATTCCTACGTGGGTGGAGCACATAGGTGGGTTGCCGATGAGGCTGTGGATTCGAAACGGTGGCAGTGGGAGGACCCGAAGACTGATAATTTTGAGCAAGGCCAACGTTGATTGGCATGCGCGAATTCGAGGGGTGCGAGGGTGGCGTCGGTGGAACATTATTGTAGGACCGGTTGTCACCGTTGTAAAAGTCTGGGGTGGTAATAGTGGTGTCTGCAGTATTGGGTGTGCCACCTGTATTCCTGGAGCTGTCTGTGTTTGCGGAGTAGTCCTCCCGGAAATAAGTAGGATCCTGGTATCTAGAGGGTGTGTGTAAGGGTGGAATGCCAACACCAGGCCCAAAGGACTCCCCGTACGGAATGTAGGTTGCAGATGTTAACGGCTGTTGCTCTGGCGGAGGCGGCGGGGGTGGGAATTGGTTGTGTTGATAGTTGGAGAACAATTGAGGGTTGTACGTCTGGCCTTGTGGGTATGTTGGCCGCTGCTGATTCCAGTAGGCAGTTTGTGGAGGGGGTGGAAGCATTCCATGCGATGTGCCTCCAAGTTGACGAGGAGGCGGAGGAGGGATGTGTATACCAATCGGAGGACCGGGTGTGGCTGTTGGAGGAGGAGGTCCTGGAGGAGGAGGGAGGTATTGCCTCCCTGCATCTGGTGGATAATGCTGCATCTTGAGTGCTAGATATGGTCGCTTCGCGATGTGGTGGCTAGTTTTCTTGGTGCGAATGTTCGAGGTGGTCACTATATCGAGTCACGGCAGTACTATAAAGAACGGACCAGAAACAGGTCGAGAACTGCGCAGCCGTTGATCAGATGGCAGCCTGCGTCAGATTTCATAACGCGCGCGGCGCATATGAAGAAGGGCGATTGACACCTCAAATTGATGACATGCGACAATCCATTATTGCACGGCGGAACAAGTAGACAAAGATATCCTCTCACTGCGTGTCTGCCACGTCTTGCCAGTCTCTCTTCTCACAACACTTTTCAGGGTCCAGTATGCTCGGTGTGGGCGTGAAGAAGTCGAAGATATCGCAGAATGGCAGTGGAAATGCGGGTGCGCCGGTGGTGAAGCGGTAAAAGGATGAGGACCGAAGGATAACGAGCGGCTACTGCTGAGAGGGCAATGATCACTCGGATCTGGAGACAGCGAAGGTATGCTAGGTATACTACAGACACACAAGATCAGCATGAGGCAGACAGGCTCTTGAAAATATGGATATGGCAGCGCTGTGGAGCGATTGGGGCGGAGGAGCCTACTCACCGAAGCGCAATGACGGACGGGCAGATGAGAAAGTGGCGATGCAGTAAAGTCGCGAAAAAACACACACACACAAACACACACAAAGATGGAAGAGGACTGCAAGGTGATAGTAGAGATGGTGAAAAGGAAACAGAAGAGGAGGCGGCAGAGAAGTGGAGAGAGGTGTAGGCGTTGGTAGGTGATTGGGACGGACGAGGATCTAGTGCAAAGTAAAAGGTAGGTTGGGGTTATTACTAGTTAGCAGGAGGAGGAGGAAGAGGAGAAGCTGATGAATGCGGATGGAAGTGTGTAGGTGAGGGCTGATGAGTTGCTGTGAGTGGTGGTGGTGGGTGTGCAGCTTTGTGCTTTGGGCGCTAATAACTGCTGCAGCTGTGGCATGGCATGGCATGGCACCAGGCATGGGAACCCACCTGCACCCACTCAGACTCCCCACCCCCCATGTGGCATCCGACTTGGCCTAGGTAATGATTAATTCGGGGTAGAGGGCATCTCTTCATATCATCAACTTCCATGTATCGTCCGCATGAGACAGTTGGGATGGAGAGATGTCGTCTCTCCTTGGTAGACCGACCAACAGACCTGAGGCATCTTTGCGAGTGCCTGTTGTTGTGCGTAGGGAGATTGAAGCAAGTGATAGGGTGAATAGTCCTCGCGAACATGGTGGTGTGCGCACTATCAAATGTCCCTTGACAATTGTAGTTATGTAGCGACATGCAAGACAGGGTTGATGCCAGTCTGCAGTGCGGCATGTGCGTCTGTCACAGCATCCGTGTTGTCGCTATCAATACCGATCGGATCGTATATTAGGATGTAGAGGTTCAAGGGGATTTCGGTTGTCGTATGCAGAGTGATTTGGGGTTTACCGTGTCAAGGCAAGGGGCTGAATGAATAGATGAAGGCGTGTGTGGGTGTGTTTGTTGTGCGTAGAGCAGGACGCCAGCAAAATTACCATTTCGGGCCTCGCGATGAGCCTAGATAATAGTAACAGCCAATAACGGCTGTAACGGCGGGAGGGTTATTAGGTTATTAGCGATATATCCTACTGTAGTTAGCATAGCAGTGCAGCGTACCGGGCGCCATAACTAGGGGCTTCTGCGAAAGCCACACAAACTTAGCTAAGCCGTGCCCGGCCACATGAGGATGGATATACCGTGATTAATTAGTACTAAGGAAGGTGTGTGTAATTACTGTATATTCAACATCGCCTTGAATGGTAGAAAGTGATTAATCAATTCTGAGTAGACAAGATCCAAGTCCGCCGTGCGCATCGCCGGCGCCTATGGGCCTGTCCTGTCCTGTGGTTGTGCGTTTGTGCCTGTCTGTGCCTATCTGTGCCTGTCTGTGCCTGTCTGTTTATGCTTTGTACCCGTGCTTGTATGTGCTGATGCCCGTGCCTGTATGTGCCTGGGTGTGTCCAGTGTCTCTGGCGCGCTGACAGCCCGTGGCCATGCCTGTGCGTGTGTGCGTGTGCGTGTCTGTGCCACTGCCACTTCCCCCCGGCCCGTTTCTCGTTTCTGTGTGCACAGACAACGAAGCCGCCAGATTGTCGAGGGTCGGTCGAACCGTCGAGGCCATCGGTTCATCCATGCCCTGGATGGATTACATAAGCTATCTTTTATTGCTTACTACTCCACCTGGGCAGATCCGAAGCATCTCTTGGCTGTGTTTCGTGTCTAGGACTCTATTAGGCTGCGTCGCGTCTTCCCTCTCGTATCTGGTGCCTGCACAACACATCACAACTATTATGCTACTGTATATCAAAATCATATCACTGGTAATTCGCCTCAACATGCTTTCACTGCTAGTCCAAGCCCGTAATCGTCTCTACAATCCATCCTCTTCCGTCGTCTTCCGCGCGCTTTTCGCCGATGGAGGCCTCAAGCCCAATTCGATAAATACCTATGACCTCATACCCTCGCCCCTCTACCCAGTAGTCTCTACATAGGTAGCTATCTTAGCTATCTAGCTTGCATCAACTCCCACGTTCTACGTTTGCCCTTCCAAGACTTCAATTCGTCAGTCCTGCACTTGAACTTCTTTCCTCATATCTGGCAGCCATGGCCACTGATATTCGTACCTCGGAGCTCAAGGAGCCCGTAGATGTTGCTGAGGTTCGTCCTACTCTCGCTTGACCTCCAACGTCAAGACTGAACTTTGTACAGTACCTTTTCCGACGCCTGCACCAAGTTGGCGTGCGATCAGTACATGGTGTCCCTGGGGACTACAACCTCGTTGCATTGGACTATATCCCCAAAAATGGTCTGAAATGGGTGGGAAATGTCAACGAGTTGAATGCAGGTCCGTGCTCGATATCCTTCAATTGCATGGATGGATACTCGTCTGACCTTGGCGTTCAGGCTACGCCGCCGATGGCTATGCGCGTGTAAAAGGAATCGCTGCAATTGTTACCACCTTTGGCGTAGGAGAGCTGTCGGCCGTTAACGCACTGGCCGGTGCGTACAGCGAATATGTTCCCGTTGTCCACATAGTCGGATGTCCTTCCACTGCTGCCCAGAAAGACGGTCTTCTTCTGCACCATACTCTTGGAAATGGTGACTACTCCGTTTTTGCCAATATGTCTCGTCAAATCTCCTGCGCTGTCTCCATGCTCAATGATCCTTACGAAGCCGCAACTCTCATCGACCATGCCATACAAGAGTGTTATATTAAAAGTAGACCGGTCTACATTTCTCTCCCCTCCGACATGGTCACGAAGAAGATTGAAGGCGCAAGGCTGAACGCGCCGTTGAACCTGGACTTTCCAACCAATGATCAAGACAAGGAAAATTACGTTGTTGATGTTGTGATGAAGTACCTCGAAGCAGCTAAATCACCCTGCATCGTCGTTGATGCCTGTTCCATAAGACACCGTGCTCTTGAGGAAGTCCACAAACTCGTTGCAACATCTGGCATACCTACCTTCGTTGCTCCAATGGGAAAAGGGGCAATTGATGAGACCCTACCAAATTATGGCGGGGTGTACGCTGGTGATGGGTCGAATGAGGGCGTGCAGAACTACGTTGAAAATTCCGACCTTGTTCTCAACATTGGTGCAATAAAGTCTGACTTCAACACTGCTGGTTTCACATATCGCATGTCGCAGCTCAAGTCCATCGACTTCCATAGTTACGGTGTATACGTTCGATACTCCGAATATCCTGGAGTGCGCATGAATGGTGTTCTGAGAAAGGTGGCCGAGAAGCTCGGAAAGTTCAACGTGACAGCCCCATTCCCTAAACCAAGCAATGCAATCCCAGCAGAAGAGAAACAAGACGACTCTGGCGTAATTAGCCACGCTTGGTTGTGGCCACGTCTGGGCCAATGGCTGCGTGAGGACGATGTTATCATCACAGAAACAGGTTTGTACCCATCGGATGCCAGAGGTCACCATGATTGACGCGTATAGGCACAAGTAATTTTGGTATTTGGGAGACTAGGTTTCCAAAGAATGTCATCGCCATATCGCAGGTACTTTGGGGTAGTATTGGATATGCGACGGCAGCATGTCAAGGTGCCGCATTAGCTGCGCGAGAGACAGGCAAAAAGCGGACGATTCTGTTCACCGGTGACGGTAGCTTCCAACTCACTGCCCAAGAAGTGTCAACAATGATCCGAAATGAGTTGGACCCGATAATATTCGTGCTTTGTAACAAGGGGTACACCATCGAACGATTTATCCACGGATGGAAAGACGCGTACAATGACGTGCAAGAGTGGGATTATAAGGGCATTCCGGCGGCTTTCGGCTGTTCCCCAGAAAAGCACCAGACGTACCGAGTTAAGTCAAAGAAAGAGATTGACGACCTATTCAACGACCAGACCTTTTCTGACAGCAATAAGCTGAGATTCGTGGAGATTGTAATGGACTGGGACGATGCTCCAAGGGCCCTTAAATCAACTGCCGCTGCATCTGCTAAGAGAAATGAGGGATAGATGTAAGTATACGAATGAATGACAAACTTGACTCTGATCTTGAGCTGTTGACAACCTATGACATGGTCCCAAATCGCACAAAGAATGTACCATGCAAATCGAGTCCCTCCTGAGTGTAAGTGAACCTACCAATGCTGGGGGTTGTCTATCCACTAGCAGCCTCGAAAAATAAGTGAATCAACAATATCCGCGGCACGTGGCGCCACATGACACTGTTTATAATTACAAGCTTGTTGTCTTTGCTTGTTCATCGTCGCGTAGCATAGCCTTGACTTGCCCACGCACACCGCACCTGGTTAATCTTAAATTCGAAGAAAATTTGCTCCGTGTTTGACTTCCTCCACCTTTCGAGTTTCGTATCAACACAACGATCAGCACCAACACAGAAGTCCGATAGTTGAAGCTCGGTGAGTCTATAGATCTACAGATCCCTCACTCTGTATGACCTTTTTGCTAACTTCAAGCACCGCAACAGCAGATACCGTGATGGAGGCTAAGGACAACTCAAAAGGAGTTGTGACCGAGTCAAAGGGAAAAGAGACAGAAACAGTCGATTTGACAGAGTCTCCTCCAAGGCCTTTGTCAGAGCCAATCAAGAACTCAGTATCGGGTCCCTCAAACGTTCGCAAGTGTACAAGTCCTCACACGCGTGTTCCAGCAAAACGACGAGTTGTCGTTGACCCAGATTCCGATCATGAACATGAGCGCCGCGTTGTTCTTTATACACGTAGCCGTAGTGAAGATTCTGATGCATCCGATTATTGGCCGCCTACGACAGGTGTTCGTCAGGAAGAGACGCGACTTGAAGAAGAGCAGCTCGAGGCTGACTACGAAAGAGAGACAGCCCCAGAGCCACATAGGTCCTCAAGCAATATCGATGCTTCTTCAGCTCGTCAGTATCAGCCACCAGGACCGCAAGGTCGTGATCCGCCTCTCATCCGCGGCCTATCAATGGTAAGATCCTTCGCTCCAACCATGCCGGCACACGGAAATCGTTTGATGTCCTCGAGAATGTTTGATATGCCTGGATATGCGAGCTACCCCCAGCAACAATATCACAGTGGTGGCGCGCCTTCGCTTCAATCGTACCAGGACCAGCCACAGCCATTGATATATCCAGAGCCGATGGGTTATCCACAGCAGATGACCTATCCACAGCAGATGACCTATCCACAGCAGATGACCTATCCACAACAGATGGCCTACCCACAACAGATGGCCTACCCACAGCAGATGGCCTACCCACAACAGACCGGGTATCCACAACAGATGGGATATCCGCAGCAGATGCTTTATCCACAGCAAACGGTGTACCCACAATACACCGTCCAACCACAGGAGTTGGCACAACAGCTGCAAATGGCCCATCCACAGCACATGACCTACCCGCAATATGTCAATCCCAGGCAACTTGTCCAGCAACAGGCCATCCCAGAGCATGTTCTCCCACAGCATGTTCTCCCACAGCATGTACTTCCACAGCATGTTCTTCCACAGCAGGTTCTTCCACAGCAGGTTCTCCCAAAGCAGGACGACCAGAAACAGGACGACCAGAAGCAGGTCAGCCAGAAGCAAGTCAACCAGAAGCAGGTCAACCAGAAGCACGTCAGCCAGAAGCACGTCAGCCAGAAGCACGTCAAACAGAAGCAGGTAAAACCAAAGCAGGTCGAACAGAAGCACGTGAACCAGAAGCAGGTAAAACCAAAGCAGGTCGAACAGAATCAGGTGACTTCAAAGCCGGCCAATCCAAAGGAAGCCAATCCAAAGGAAGTCAATCCAAAGGAAGCCAGACTGAAGCAGAGCTCTCAACAGCAGGTCAACCCTCAACAGCCTAGTCCTCAACAGGTCCACCAGGCAGAGCGAAGAGTACAGAGTGACCGCCATCCTGCAACTGCAAATACAGCTCTTCCCCTAGGAAGATCAGCTCATGTAGGTACGTCGCTGGCATTGCGGCCAAAGTCAAAAAACCCATCCACTGAGTTGATTCATCCGGCAGAGCCGACATTACAACGTCCTGTCTCAGCTGTGGCTCTATCTGGTCAAGCTCTTGATTATTTTGCTTTTCCGGAAGATCCATGGGCCTCGCTCGGTCCTTCGACAAGCGGTGAGTATCCTCCAATACCGCCAAAGCCTGTTCTACGAAAAGCTACACTCGCTGCGGTTCCTGAGCAGACTCCAAACAGGATGGGCTTTTCAGGCTTCGCGCCAGAGAAAGGCAAGGATAAATCATCAGAGGACTCAGCGAGTAGTGGTGGCGTTGCAACCAGTCGCTCTAAGAAGGTCTATCATGAGCCTAAGGGCACAACCTCAGAACAGAAACTCGACTCCATTGTGCAAAGGCTTGTTGATTCCGCTTCCAAGAGAGCTGAGCGTCCGCAGGCCCCTACTCCTGTATCTGAGAAAGCCACGGCACCATATCCCGTAGCTACGAAGTCCCGCCTCCAATTCTCAACCACTCCCAAACCGGCAACGAAGATGCCCTATACGCATCTCCAATATAAGAAGGCAGCCGCCACACATGCAGTAATCGCCGCAAAGGCAGTGACCGCCGCAAAGGCAGTAGCCACCGCGTTCCCTACTTCTTCCAGCGCCTCTCTCCCTAGCTTCGACCAGCCTGCAGATACCCTTCGAAACGAGGCCCGCACGCCTGACACTTTGGCTTCAAGTTCAGCAGTACAGGCCAACATCCAGACCGACACAGCCTCAGCTGTTCGTCGCGTCCTCTCGGGACGCAAGGTTGACAAATGGCTGTACACCATGCGTCTCGCCAATTTCAACGCCTCCGGCTCGCGCTGCATCGGCCGCGAGAACGCAGACACATGTCCATGCGAGGAGTGCTGCGACTTGATCCTAGCTATCAAGGGTGACATCGAGATTTTGCTGGACCCGCCTAAGCATGTGTACGATCGTGGCCATCCCGACCCTAATGCCAGTAGTAGCAATCCTGACGGCAATCCAGATGACCATCTTGACGCTAGGGCTGAAGTCTATCTCTCGCCAACCTCCATGCGTTCCATGCTCATTCATCATTTCTCGTCACGCATGCTCGAGGGTTCATCCACTCTGATGCTCTCGCCCGACGCGCCACTCAATCGCGTGCACAGTGCCGTGCGCAGGCGTTTGGGCATCGAGGACGCCTATGTGGCGTGGTTGAACACCGGCCAGAAGTGGAAGAAGGGCCTGGCGTGGGCACCAGGTCGCAACTATCTGGAGCGTTGTCGCCGCAAGCGCACTGAGTATTTCGAGAGCGAGGTCGAGAAGAAATGAGAGGAAATGGAAGGTCGCAGTGTGAAGCGAGATGTGTTCGTCACACTCGTCAGTCAAAACACAAAAAGCTTGTTTATGTTTTCTTCCTTGCTTCCTTTTGCGGCCATTTGCTTTGCAGAATTGAGTCTTCACCGACTTGGACTATCGCGCATGTTTATTCACTTACTCACTGGCTTCAACGGCCTGGTGCGTCGAGACACTACGTCTCACATACTCACTGGCTTAACACGGCCTGGTGCGTCGAGGGCATCACATACATGTCTCCCCTGCGTTTTACTCTTTCATAATGCGGATTTCGACAATGAGATCGACCCGAAAAGCGAGCGAATGGATTTGGAGGAAAAGGAACGAAAATCAGGACAAAAAAGAAATGGTGCTTTCAGGTTGAGTTTGTTCCGGATGCGGTAATCGTCACTTTGGCTTCACTAACACACTCGTTTGCTTGGCCTAGCTGGCTTTCTTTTGTTTATGAAGACGAGGATATTGTGTCTCTGCGTTGAGATTGTGCTTTTATCATGCTCTGGAAATTGATGGACTGGGATTAATGGGATGGAATTGAAAATCGAAAAGAGAATGGTCGTAAAAGCGATAGGAAGGAAATGAAATGGAATACCAATAGCGATAGCAATAGCAATAGGAATGCAATGCGAAAAGAATTGTGCGAGAAAACTGGGGTGTCGGCTTCGTCGATGCGTGGTTCTTGCCACATTGAAGGATGAATTAGGATTTAATAAGGTGCTTTACGGGCGGGCAGAGCTAACGAGTTGAGTGTGAATATACGGTATGGCGATTACAAAAGAAGATGACCTACTTCAGATGGAGAGTGGAACGGTGTAGCAGCTCTATGGATGTGAGATCGAAAACTGGGCTAAGCCTATCAGGGAAACCGAATATCATTCTGATTCTCGTCGAGATGAGTTAGCATGCCAAGGTGGTACAGTGCAGCGCTTTTGCGGCTCATATCAAAGCCTAATTTAGCAGATGCCAGCGAGCATAATAAAGGCACGACGATTCTTTTTGCAGGTTTTTCGCATGATATTTATTCGTCACGTGCTGTATCAGGCACTTCAAAGTGTCGAAGGCTTGGCACACACGACGCACGGATGAAACTCGATGAGTAACTTCTTTTCAACGCGTCACCCAACATTTTCACTGATTATAAGCATGGCCGAAGAATCAACCAACAAGCGGAAGCTTGGTGACGGAGAGACTTCTTCTAATCGACCTTCCAAAAAGACTGCCAAACATGGCTCTTCCGTAAGCGCCTTCTCGATCTCGATCAGCTGAAGCTCGAAGTTTGGTGCAAGTTAAACACACGAAAGCTAATACTCACACGTATAGGGCAAAAAGCAGTGGCGCACTCCACAAGGGACCCAGACCCAACATGGCGCTGAGAATCACCGCATCGAGGCTGGTGACGTAGGTATCTTCGCTACCTGTAACATGAAGCAGGAGAGAAAATGCATCGCTGAGCTGAGAGACTTGTTTGATGAGGTGAGCCCTACATTTCATGCTATAGTGTTGCATGACTGCTGACAGGCGGTCTGCAGTATGCTCAGCAGATCTACAACATTCGCGACGACGAGCCTGCTGGCGATCGAGATACACCAAAAGACATCTCGGCAGAAATTGCCAACGAGCTCGAGAGGATCAAGTCAAGCAAGACCGACGGCCTGTTCACTAATATCAAATTGGATGTTGAGTGCGGTACGTGATGTAGTCTCAATATGCACTTACGCCACTGACCAGCCATAGTGGTCTTCATGAAAACACGCGAGCCAGTGGAGCCCGTATCTTTCGTGCATCAGATCTGCAAGGATGCTGCCGTCTCACACCGCAAGCAAAATCGATTCATCAAAAAGCTGATGCCCGTGACTTTGTTTGCCAAGGCCAATGAGAAAGGTCTTGACGAGATATCACAGAAAGTTCTCGCGCCACATTTTCATAGAGAAGGCGCCGCAAGCAAGAAGGTGAGATGCAATTCGTCGTTCCAAGCGAACCACCTCGTACGAGTTACGCCTAGCGAACGAAGGACTGATTCGATCTGCATCTTCGTATAGTTTGCGATCCGACCGAATTTCCGCAATCACACCGTCATGAAGAGAAACGATGTGATCAAGCGCATCGCCGCTGCTGTTGGGCCTGGCCATGCAGTTGATCTGAAGAACTACGATCTTCTGATTCTGGTGGAGGTCTACGAGGTAAGTGGTATCTGTCCACGTGTCTGTGGCGTCGCGGCCCGCAGCGTGCACTGGACTTGGCCATGACTTACGCAAGCTACAGAATGTCCTTGGAATGAGTGTGGTTGGAGCTGATTACGATCAATTGAAGCGGTATAATCTTGCTGAACTATATCAGCCGGAAGGCGAAGATGAATGAGCCTGGTAAATTGGCAATATGCCGTATCATTCTTCAAAGGGCTCTGTCATCCGACTCACACCTGCATGTTTCGAAGAGATCTCAGGCAAGGATTGGGGCTAGCTAATCGTCGGCCGAGACGAACGATGCAGCGTATCCACCTCTCCTGTGGCGTTCTCATGTCGAACCTAATGTCGGTGCGGTGTGGTGCCCAGTGCTGAATTTACAGGTTACGATCTCATGAAAGCCCATGGCGCTCAATCACTGGAGCAATGCAATGGGTGGGCTTGTAGCGATCTCAACCTCTTCAAAAGTCCTCTAACGTATTTTCGGTTCGGGATACGGTAAACCGAAAGTAAAAGCACGCCCCAGCGGTACACGTTACTTTATATTCCGTTCTATTATAGACCCAGAACAGTGGCGTATCGTGCGTAGGCGCTTTCGTCTCCATGTGTTCGGGAGCCATCCGCTGCAGACAGGGGGTGATATGTGGACTACAGGCTACCGACAATGTCTCACTACGCACGATTTAGTGACAGTCTAGCTGTAGGCGAGCTCATGAGGGCAGCCGCCGTCCATAGTGTGCGAGATTTGTTTTCACATCCGACGCACAGTAATGAGTCGGTGGCCTCGCTCAGTGATGTTACACATCATCAAATCATCATCAGCAAAATAGACTAATAAATCAGTACTTGAAGACATGGGCGATCCCAGCTCTATAGGGCTGGGATCGCGGGAGATAATCATTCATATCGCGTGGCGCATGAGCTCGATTGAACTTGGAGACTAGCCTCAGACGGCGCTTACGACATATCAGTGGTTTGATAATTCAGTATGAATCTTGCGCAGTGCAGACCGCAAGAAGCGCCAGGGCTGAAGACTTGGAGAAGCTTTACTAGACACGGGCAACTAAACGAGGTTTCATCGCATCGTGTCATCAGCCTCGCCCTATTCTCGCTTGACCCATGTCCGTGTCGGAGTGGTTGAGGGCGTCGAACGTTGGACTCTGGACGTTCCAGAAAGCAACTCCATTCACGACCGGGACTGGGAGCCGTGCAGCCAATCAGCGGCGCCCATTAACGACCGCCATTCGTTTAGCTTTCCTCCTTTGAGCCTCACAAGCGAAACTTACGGGGTCCTCTGTGGTCTCTCTCCCTTTCATCCTCCACTCCTCCACGCCGTGCTACGGTGCTACGATCCTCTGACTCTGCTACTGTGCAAATGCACAAGTCACTAAAAACACACGCTTGTCGGCCACTCGGCACTTCCATCTCTTTCAAGCTTTTGTGGGCCGCCGCCAATTATGCCACCATCGAGGCAACGCCCAGCCATGTTGTGTATTCCTGTAATGGACGCGCTCCTGCTACGCCATCTGCTTTCGTAACGCGTCAGCATGCGACGACTTCGCCAATTTGCCGAAACACTTATGCACTATAACTGTCTCCTAAGACATCTCGGCTCACAAGGCGACAAGTGAAGACTTGCTATGCCTTCTGCTCTGTAGTATCATATATCCTGGATCGACCACCATAGAATTTGTTCACCTCTGGTCCTTATCCTCCAATATCTGGCGTTTGTACAATTCCACAGACGAGTCCTTGTTATAGTCTACATACAGCCTCCCCATTTACAATATATGCGTTCTTGAACTTACCTCACGCCGATCTGCATAGCTGAAGAAAGCCCTACTTGGATGAGGCTTGGAGGTTTCAGGCGTGCTTTATAAGAGCCCTGGGCATTAGCACATCTGAATCTTGGCATCTGGAAGGCTCCCAAGGCATTGAACAAAGAGTATTATTACTATTCCCAAAGACCCCTGCGGCCTTGCATGTCGCTTCTTACCAGCATGCACCTGCCTTGCTTCGATCACCATGGAGGTTCTCCACGTACGACTATGAGCTTTGGAACGATGATGAACTCTACTCCTCCAGCGTCCAGTCGATCTCCGGATTTCCAGAGTACTCAAGAACTTCTCAGGACGATATTGCAGTCCTCGAGGATATGTCTACAGCAAGTCGAGCGTCTCAAGGGTGTGTTGAACAGGGTATATCTCGTGCGACTAGCCGATGGACGAGCTTATGTTATGAAATGCCCTCCCTATCGTTCAACACCGCTTCTGCGCCAGGAGAGACATGGCATGCAGGATGAATCACGGATACTCAAACTCATGGCGACGGCACCGGACGTTCCGATACCTCGCATCGTCCATTGTCGAGAACATGGAGGTTCTTTTGGGCCTTATCTTCTCCGAACTTTCATACCGGGAACCCGACTCACTGAAATGGCACCGTACTTGACTGCGAGTGAACGAGAGACGATCGACCGTACACTTGGACGCCATATGGAGAGGATCACATCGTCCACTGCCGGTACGTTTGGAACTTCTGCACCCGTCTTTGCAGGAGAGGGACATTCGAACTGGCAAAAGGCATTTCATCACCTACTGGAATCGACGCTACGGGACGCAGAAGATATGCTTGTGAGCGTGCCTTACGAAAGCATTCGCTCTCACTTTGAAAAGCACGGACACCTATTGAGACTCATCACGACGTCGCAGCTAGTTCCCATGCAAGCTGGCTTGCCTGAGAATGTCATTATCGACCAACACACAAAGCAAGTATCGGGCATCATAGGATTCTCTGATACGATCTGGGGAGACCCGATGATATCTCCTGTGCTCGCACAGGCTAGTCCAGCGTTCTGGAAGGGTTATGGGAAATACCCGTCCCCGTCAGAGGGTGAACGTACGCGGCAGTTGATGTGAGTTTGGTCCTGATATCGAAAGGGTTCTTACTGACTGTTATCAGGTATACGATGTACCGAGCTCTCGTCCAGATAGTGACAAACTACTACCGTCCAAGCGAAGACGATCTTGAGCTGGAAGCCCGAAGGCTGCTGACTTGGTCTTTGAATCAACTCGACGCCATATGAATGCTACACACCTTCGGCCAAAATGCACGAGGTGTATCGATATGCGAGACACTCTGAACTATCTCACAGCCGACGAAAAACACTTTCAAGTCCAAGTGATACGATATACAGACATTTGGCGCCAGTCCAAAATAACGAGCCCTAATGGCACAGAATAGATCTTTGTGACAGGGGTGCCACACACATCATATGGTCGCACGAAACTCGACACATGGATTAGAACTCATCGCAGGCTATTCAAAGAAATTTCTTATCCAACTCAACCATTTCCCGGTTTCGAGACACGATACTTACTTAATAACACGGCATGACTTATGAGGAAAAACGGACATTTGTTATTGACAGCATACATAATCATCATTTAGCGAGGAGTTGACAAGGGTTTACCAGGAGGTATGGGGTTTATGGGGAGTGCTACATCACGCACAAGGCTATTGCCACAGGGAGGTAATGCCACGGCAAAAAGTATGTCAATATCAGAAACTTTCGGTACTCGAAAAGTCGTTACTACTGCTCACCGTCTTCCCGTCTGTCTATCTGTCTACATTTCTTGCTCTCTACGCTGACGTGACTCATGCTTTGATATTTGTCCAGCCGTCACAGCAAAATACGGTCCATAGAGCCTTTCATGCATTAATCAGACCCCAGTTCACATCTCCATTACCGTCTGAAACTCCACCCCTCCCCCTCCCCACAACTGTCCCCAGTCCCAACGCTCACCTCCCCTCATAAAAACACCAAACACCAACACCGAATCCCCAAACCCTGGCCATCCCCTCCTTCCATTCATGCACTCACTCGCCCACTCATCCACTCACTAAACACACTATAATATCACGCAAAATCCATCCATCCCTCCAGCCACCCACAACAAAACAACACAACACACCATACACCAAAACCCCCCGGAAGTAGTCACAATTAGCGAAATCAGACATGCTTACACATACTCTCCATGGCACCGTGGTCCGGCCTTGTATGTATGTATGGTACGCGCGGCCAGAGAGCGGGGTTCAAGCTTGGATTGGCGGGATTTTAGGTGAAGATTTGGTGGATTTGGGAATTTCGTGGATGGGCGGTGTGAGATTGGGGGTCGTGGTGTGGTGTGGTTTGGTGCGGAGGGTGTTGATTGATTGGTCGGTTTGGGTTTGTGTCAATGGGCGAGTGGTATGGTGGGGAGTGATGCATTTTTAGGGAATGTCCGTGTATGTATGTATGTGCGTTTAATGTACGTTTATGTATGTATATGCATGTGTATGTGTATGTACATGCAAGTGGAGCAAACACAGCCTTGGCGAGGCTGAGGTGTGTGGTCACCGAGCTAGACAGGGCAGGGTTTATCTTTTTTATTTTTTCCAAAAAAAGAAGTATCACAACTTATATAATTTCTAGTATGCGATATAGATTAGGGTTTTTCAAATCTGTGTTTTACTTGGAGGTGTTATGGATAAGATAAGAATTGCTATGCGGACGTAAGTTCGGAGGATAAGGAGTGGAGAGTGGTATTTTGTTTGTTTGTTTGTTTGTTTATTGCTTGGCGCGACATTCTACTCTGCCTGAGAAAGAGGGTGAGAGAAGAATGCACTATCTCCAAGACACGCAACTATAAACGAACATATCCCGTACCATTGCCCTCCTCCAGCTACTAGGAAAATAATCCAAGCATCGTTAACACCGTCTAAATGTTGCGATAGATGGATGGAAGGATGAGTCTAGTCTAGTGTATTAAGGACGAAGCTAGGCATCATGCATGGACCGGGTGAAGCGAGAATGTCGCTTGTCCGGCAGCGCTAAGGAACGGACGCTACGACGGAGATGGTGAAAGCAGCGAGTGGAAGCGAGGATGGAAGGATACGGGGCGTGGAAGGAGTTCTAGTTTGCGATGGGATTCATGGTGTGTGAGGCGGGTGGGGGCTGGCGGGAACTGTGGGAATGGATGGATTGCCTGCGGCTGACGATGAGTGGACGGTGCGGCGAGTACGTCTTGTCTATGCTCAGAAATTAAGACCATCTAAGGAGATCAGAGAATGTGAGACTGGTGGATGTTTGTGATAGCGAGTGATACTGACAACTAGCTAGCTACCTGTAGGCCCGCAAGAACTGCAAGACACCCAGTCCGCCAACATCGGTATTGTCTCTATCCTGCGAATCCTCCTCTGGCCATCTTTTTTGCCCGTTGCTCCCGTCGACTATGATTCGCGCGGGACGACTTATTTGCCTCTTTCCTTGCACGATTCTGCTGTGCTCCTCCTCGTTGTCCATCGCTTCTCGTGGACGCTTCTGAGCCTCCTTGCGGTCCGCCTCGACCACCTCGTCCGCGGCCACGCCCGCCCCTGAAGCCGCCTCTTCCACCTCGGGTACGGTCACTGGCATGCCGTCCGTCAGAATCGTCAGTTTCCTCTGTCTTTGTCCATGACTGCGGCGTGAGATCACGCTGCTGACCGGTGAATGATGTGTACTTTGCCTCAAGTTTCTTTATTTTACGGGGATCGCGTGCGAGCATGACAGCCCAACCTTCGATTGACTCGTCTGTCATGTTAGTAGAGATTCGCAGCCCGTCTCTCTCCTTGCTTCGTCGTGTCAATGCATCGCGGCTGAAGACTTGGGGGGTGCTCGTGTAGGCCTTGAAAAGAACTTCCTCGTTGCCAGAGTCTGCTTCCTCGGCGCCGGGCTCGACGGTGCCACCGACATCTTCGGCATCGTAAGTGTCGTCCCGCTCGTCGTCGTCGGAGTCGAATGCTGCGAGCGCAGAAATGATGGCGGCTTTGTTGGGCGCACTTTCGCGGTTCGAGAGGAGGTCGTCGGCGGTGCCTTTGTCTTTGCGGCCGAAGTGCAGTTTGGATACGTCGACGGCAAGCCGGTCGAATTCATCATCGTCATAAATGTTGCGACGTACGGGTATCGTCGGTTCCGGGGCCGGTGGCGTGGAGCGAGGTGCGAGGTCTGATTTTTGTAACTGTGTTGCAATATCATTCCTATAATAGCTGTTACTCTGATGCGAATTTGGCAGGGCGCATGAAACATACAATTCCTCTGTCCTGTCGGCAGACTTAAGATGAGCCGGCAGGGACTCCTCCAATAGGTGTGCTATAACTTCCTCTACGTTTTCATTGTACTCATTCAGAAGCTTCGCAACGAATCCTGTTCCAAGGTCGGGGAAAAGGTCCTGGATCTGTGTTATGAGACTCATTCGATGCATGTGCATCTCAGAAGTTGAGGGTTCTTCTCGGGATTTTCCCTTGTCGACCTTAGGCTTTGGACGTCTCCTTGGTCTACGTAGACTTGGCTGTTGGAATACCGACAATGACGCAGCAGTATTCCGTGCTCTAGTAGCTTCTGATGAAGTTTGCTTCCCCATAACATGAATGAATGCAGTATTGGTCACCAAATTAACTAGAAGCGTGTTCGCGGTCTTACTCGCCTTTTGAGCAGCTTCAGTGTGCGTCCTTAGGCTGTAAAGATGATCTGACAGAATAGAGAAGTTTGGCTTGCTGCTATGGAGTAGTCCTGAGAGTCCTAGGTACAATGTGACGACTAGACAGGGCCGGGTGTCCAATGAAGCCTTGTCGTATGCCGAAGTGAGAGCATCAACGAAGTCTGAACCGACCATGAAGAATGCTGCAGCATCTGGCGATGCCCGGAACAAGTGAATGATTCTCCTCATATCCGGCCCGGCAGCTTCAGGTCTCTCGGACTCGAGTTTCGTGATTAGGATACTCTTGATCTTATGCAAAGACATCTCCATACTTGGGCCATGTCTTTCGAAGAAGCTCTTTAGCAGGGTTCTGAGGCTCTCACTGTGAGGGTAGGCGTGCGACAAGTCTGCAAAGAATTCCCAATGCATCAATGTAGGTGACACTTGGCTGCCAAATATTCTATGTACCAATAAGAATGCACTCTTCTTCAATTGGTAAATGCTGTCGTTATTCAATCGTGTCTCACTACTTCCCAATGACGCTGATTCTCGAAAGAACGATAGCAAATACATATCCAGAATGCCTGGTGACGTTGCAACTCTGGCAAAGCTCTCATCTGGAAGCCGCAGATATAGCTCTGATAGAGATGCCCAGGCCTTTATACAGGCTTCCCATTCTGGAGGGGCAAGCTCCAAACGAAGCTTCACCGATGGAACTGGTGCGAGCGGCGGGAGAGACATAATATTTGGCGTAGTAGAGTACCAAGGAGATTTAAGAGCAATGTCATGCCAGAACGTTTGTATTCATTGCGAACCCCGGAAACAGTGATGGAGACATGTATCATGGAGTCACCGCGTCAAGAATAAAGCGGTAACCGTATTCGGCAGGCTATTATCTCGCCTGAGGCATAAATACTAGCCACACTCTGACTAGCGCTGCCAAGATTACACTCGTACTCCCCACATCGCTTGCGAAATTCGAAACTACATTGAACTGCTCCTACAACAACCGCAAAAAAACTACCGGTCATCACGTAACAGTGATCAGAACAGATCCGAGTCGTGACTGGAACATATAATGTTAGTCTATCTCTTCAACCCTCACGTTTCTAGCATTTGCGACACGTCGATCTAACATTTCCATAGCCGCCAAAATGTCATACGAGAAGCCTTCCAAGGGCGGCGATTTCGAAGCCCCCAAGATCCATAAGATCCGCATCACCCTTACCTCGCGCAAGGTCAACTCGCTTGAGAAAGTCTGCCAGGAGCTCATCGAACGCGCAAAGACGAAGGACCTCCGCGTCAAGGGCCCAGTCCGCCTTCCTACCAAGAAGCTCAAGATCACGACCCGTAAGACTCCTAACGGTGAGGGTTCCAAGACCTGGGACACCTTCGAGATGAGAATTCACAAGCGCCTGATTGAGTACGTCTTTCTTATCGCACTCCAAACCTGGCAAATACTGACATAGATTTTCAGTCTTAACGCACCCACCGAAGTCGTAAAGCAGATCATCATCAACATCGAAGCTGGTGTCGAAGTTGAGGTCACTATCGCTGCTTAGACGGGGTCATGCGAGGATCTGTTGGAGGTCCGAAAAGAGGATTATCTAGTTCAAGTAGGACAATCTCAATGGCATCGGATACATCATAAACATCTGCAAGTGAAGTAAAATGGTTATTGGCCTGCTAATATGAAATTCGACATGCTTCTCAAAGATATGGACGTAAGCATGTATATGTTATGTGACATAGCAAGTCGCTCGGCTTACTACGACCTTGGACGAAAACTTAACAAAGCGTACCTGAGACTTACAATTGCCACAACAACGACTTTTCACATTACAGCTACGACAAGGACGCCATTCAGCGCCAATAAATATTCGGTTTTTGCGCTCCAGGTAGCCAAGGGATATATGCAACGATTCACGTTGGAAAGTCTCCCGCGCCTGAGATGATCACTCTTGTCTTGGGCCCAAAATCTGTAGAGCGTTCCGGACAAGAAACCCTAATTCTGACTTCGACGGCATACATAAGCCACGCAAGACTGACCCAACGACGACTACCTCTGGAGACCTTTGAGGCATATATGATACGTACCTAGCGGTGTCCTGGATTCATCGGAGTATTAACTCTGAAAGCGTTCTTTCAAAAGCTGCTCAGGACTTCGATTTTGGAGAAGATATCGTTTGGGATTGATCAGAGGAAAAGTTATCATGTTGTCCAAGCAGCCACTACGCATATGGCTATGGAAATACCAGAGAGTTCTCACTCATTCAAGATCATGAATTAGTACCTGCTTAAAATAGACTGGGTTCAACCGCGTTTCATTTGGAGCGCACCGTTAATATTGGCGCCTCAAGCATATCGGCTTTTGGTGTCTATCCAGAAGGCGAACTTACGTAAGGATCGCTTTTATCGCCACATTCGTACTAGCTTCGGTATTTGATCTGCCCCCTACGAGAATGTCATCAATGCGCCATCCTGAAGCTTGTATGTCGGCGTCTTTAGGAGTTCATCTACAGATGGATGATCACAAAAGATCCATAATACAGATAGGTACGATCGTACTGTCTGTCAAAAGCCGGATTAACAATCGACTGTTGTGATCTTATTAGTTGGTATATAACGAAACATTTGGTACACGTGGAAGACCTATATAAGCCGTCGCACGACTCCAACATAAACCACTATCAAATACTTGATACCTGAAAACACACAAGGCTCCTCACCTTCATAACAACTCAAAACCCAATCATCAAACATGACAGTCACTCAAATCATTCAGTTCCCAGCACACGATGCAGCCGCCACGCTCCAAGCTATCAACAAAGCTGCACCTGAGGATGTCATTCAAGGCACTCTGATCCAAGATAAAAGCACCGCGCAAGCGATTGTCGAATGGCAAGGCACAAGCGATGAGATCGCACCCGATGTCCCATCCTCAAGCAGCTTCCGCATCGACCTCGCCCGCCCAGCCCTCGGCCCTAAAGGCCCTGCTACAGCTCCAGTAGTCGAATATGTTCATACCTTCTTCCCAGTCTCAAAGGTCACGCCAGAGTTCAAGAAGAAAATCGAAGACGACTTTGTAAGGTTCAATGAACTGTTCCTCATGATCGGCTTGGTAGGCGAGATGGGATGCACCATGGGCTGGTCGGTCGACGAGGTGAACTATGCAGGGATTGAGGGTGAGAAAGCAGTAGGGTTCGTCGTTATTAGGGGTTGGGATACGATGGCGAATTTTGAGAAGGTTATGAGCTTGGACAAAACTCGGGAAGTGTTGTCGATTCTGTTTGGATGGGGAGCACCGTATAAGATGGTAAGAATCACTTATTGTCCGAACTATTGATTTACTAACGAAAATAGTGGCACGTTGCGAGAGAGGATGGTGCTAGAGGCTCACTTTGAACTCGAATTGGGTTTCTGAGCTTATACAGTGCGTTGTCATCACATCAGATATACATGTCTTGATACATTTATGTAGTCAACGAATCAATAATTACTCTGATTGAATATACTGAGAGCTATAACCCTGAATCGAATCATCCAAATAGCATCAAAAATCAAACCCCCAACCCCCAAGGACGCTTATTACTTACTTCAAATTCGCAAGCAGTGGCGAATCGGCCTTTACAAACACAGCATTCCCTGGCTGAAGCGTCGCAACTGAAATATGCGGCCACGTGAGGCCTCCAAAGTTCAGCGATACATTCTGAGAATACTGGATTTGTGTATACGATAGTTTGACGGTAGTGTTGTGAGACACATTTCTCTTGAGCTCGACAAGGAACTTAGGAGTAGAGACCTTGTCGACACGCGAAGCCTCCGAGGAGAGTAATTTCTTCGTGGGATGCGCTGCGTAATGGCCCTCAGGGATGACGACATCAACCAACACAGTGGAAATCCAGTATGTGACTTTCATGCTAGCGCCATGGGCGTTGGGAGCGGGCAGCGGATTTCCGGGTGGACCTTGCAGAAATGCGATGTTGGCAGTTCCGCCACCAGGAAGTGCATTGGTACCTTCTGTGGATAATTCAAATCTTATGTGTTCCTTAACCTGTTTCTTAGAGCTGTTCGTATTTGCGATCCTGAGTACTTCGTTGGGATTTTGAAAGATGGCTTGTGTGAGTGCGCCAGACTCGTTGAACTTGGTGAAGTCTTGTGGAATACGTAGCTGAGTTGGCTCGAATTTGAGGTTAGCAAATGCGGTGACTTGGCTGTCTGGATTGCCTATCGTGAAGGGAATGATCGACACAGTTCCAAAATCTGGAGCTCCTTGTACCGGGGGTCCTGTAGGCTCAATGCCCTGAGCGTTAATGGTAGTACCATGAGGAATAGATCCCATGCGAGAGATGGTTCCCGTTGGTACATCAGGGTTCACGGTCTGTGGCGTTCGGACGAAAAGACCTTGCTCGAAGTGGATGGGAATGGGAGTTGGTAGATCTGCTTTGCCTGTATCTTTGTTGAGCCTGTCGGAGATCTGCTGTGTGTAAGGAACAGCCTTGAGATTGAGGTCTGGTTGTCCAGCAAAGCCACGGTTTGGTACGTCACCAATGTCTTGTAGGAAGGTCTGCTTCTCCGTGGTGAGGTTAAATTCGAGGATGTTATCCGTAAGACCTGATCCACTGGTGTTAGGACGAAATATCATATTCATTCCAGTACCCTGGAATGTCCCAACGAACTTCGATAGTATGCCCAGAGAGCCCTCTACCAGAGGATTGACTGGGAGTGGCTCAATGACAGGTCCAGGGGCTATAGGAACTTGAGGGGCCTCTCTCGCTCTCGCGACGGTAATATCATCTACTTGACGAATCTTGAACGAGTCTGCTATTGTCAGGCTATTCGTTGGACCTTGCACCTCCACAGAGGGAGGCGATCCGCTCGTTGGTGTAACGGTAGTCTCAACGCTCATGGTGATAGTAGAACTGAAAGGTGTTATAATGTAGGTAGATGAAGCAACAATCAAAACAACTTGTGAAATAAAGTCTATGGCAATTATAGATGGAGGATGATAACATAGGAAAGGGTGGTATATATAATGCTCGGGCTCTCTCTTATAGGTAACTCTGTTCAGCCTCTCCAATGGGGGCTGAGATCCTAGACTGTCAGGCTTCCGAGTCATAGGAGGCCGTAAATGATCTATCAACCAGTGCACGCCGTACCAATGCCATCTCTGGCCAGGTATGGATTCCTCGTGATGCCAGCCTACACAGTCAGCGCGATACTGGAATGAAACTTTTGACCAATGGGAGTGGAGTCGAATCAGCTTGGTAAGAATTTCCATCGACTGCCGCTGGATCGAGAACAGTCTTGTGAGCGTTATACGACGCTGAAATACGTGTTTCAGTCGAGGCGTTCAATCCTATATAAATATGAAGCGTGCACGGCAAAATGACGTGATGTTTGTGGTCTACCAGCAGACTTCGGCATATACAATCGGATACAATCCGAGGGCCTAGATTAGGATTATATGATTAGTCACCCTAAAAGTACGGATTAAGCTTAGAATCTACGCTAAGGGATTAAGATTACTTATATTAAATTAAATTAAGTATATAATAATTACCTAAATAGGAAGGAGATAGGGAGACCAAGAGATAAATATATCTATTAGAATGGTATATATAGTCGCTTATATACGACTTTAAGTTAAAATCCGAGGAAATAGCTAAAATCTAAGACTTTTTAACTAAATCCACGTCTACTAAGTAGAGTCGATTACCATATAGAACGGAAAAGTATATTATTAGCCTTACGACTTAGATAGACTATAAATTAATAAGTCCTTTATCTATCTATAACTTTAAGTAGAGTACTAGCTAAACTATTATAGAATAAAGCTTTACTCGGTAAGTAGTAATTATATCTCTAGCCTTACTAAAGGCACGCTTATACTTATAACTTAAGGCTAGGATACTTAAGACGTCTATCGCTAGTTAACTAAGTTAAGGATAGTTATTCTAATAAGCTATCTAGAAGGCTATTAGTATATTAGTCTATTTACTATTATAGCCGATAGAAGGTTTACGTTACTAGTAGATAAGCTTATCCTTAATAACTTTATATTAGTCTTCTTCTAGTAGTTCGGAGTACTAAGAAATAAAGCTATTAATATCCGTAGTAGTAGAGTTATAATATACTACTCTTAGTATTATATTCATCGTTATTAAAGTCTATATAGGTATCTCTTTACCTATCTATCTCTTATACTACTACTAGTATTATCTAAAGATAGACTTAGAGTCCTTAAAGTCATCCTACGTACTTTGATAGAAGGTTTTTAGATTTAGATAAAGGTTTATAGTAGCGTAGTATATAGGAGACTTATTAAGTATAATAAAGTATTTATTTATCTTTAACTAACTATTATTAATAGTAATAATTATATAATTACCGTTAGCGAGCGTCTCCGCTATTATCTTATCTTTATCTACTAAATTAGATACTATATACTATATAAAACTTCTTTTACATCCCCAAGAGGCTAACTTGGTCCATTCGGGGTAATACAGCGAGATACATACCTTAATTAATAGAGCACACCGAGTATACTAACTACTACTATATATACGTATGTATAGCGTCGAAACTAAGACGTTATCGCCGTGTAAAGATATATATATACCCTCTTAAAATCCTCACGGAGATAGAGGCATGGACTATACTACTAGAACGCTAATACGCTAACCCCCTTTTATTAGTTAAGGGTAGCCCTTAACTAATAAATATAGCGGCCTTAGATACTAATATACCCCGGTATATACCGGATATACCCCTACCGGTATAATAGAAAAGGCTATATAGCGACATTACTAAGGGTAACTATATATCTATCTAAAATATAGAACACACCTAAAGGCGCACGCTACTATAGATAGACGGAATAAAGGGGACCCCGAGAGGGGAAACCCTCCTAGATTATATTAACTACTAGGTAGTACGTATAGAGAAGGAAGCCGGAGAGGGCTAGAAGACCCTTTTATATATATTCTAGGATCTTATCTAGAATCTAAAGGGAATTACGGAGAAGGAGAAGAAGATATAACTAAGAGGACCGGAGGGTAGGCTCGACCGAATAGAGGCTAGCCTACGTAGAATCTAGGAGGAACTTACTTAAGGTAAGCGCCCTAGTATATAGGTATAAATAGTAGTAACACCGGAGGCTATACTACGGGCCCCCCGGACCGGTAACGTGGCGTATAGTATACGCGTCGTAATCTAGGATAAGGATACCCTAGTATAGATCTAGTAAGTATCCCTAAAGGATATAGTAAGTAAGATTAATAAATAAAAGAGAATATAGTTAAATGTCGTTATCGCTAAACTCACGCTAGGAGGAGTAGTACTTACTACGATAACGAATATCGCGTAGTAGACTATCTTACGTGATCCGAACGCGATTAGTAGTATCTTCCTAGGCGCCTCTATTAGGGCGGCTATATACCCGATATAGGTATACTCTATATCTATAAGCGGATAGGTTATCGGAGAAGAGGATATTACGTGGATAGAATAGTTAAACGAGCGAAAATACCTAGGGATTAAGATCGTAAGAGTATGGTAGAAGAATATATAAGAGATTAAAACTAGATTAAAGGTATACTCTACTATAATAGTAGAGCTTAAGGACCCCGCCCTCGCGTATTAAATTATATAAGAGGGATTTCTAGCGGAAGGGGAGCTTCTTATAGCGGAACTATAGAATAGAGTATAGGCGATAATATAGTGCTTTAACTATTAGGGATACGGGTATACGGTATAGCGGTACTTCTAAAAGACTAGGTATAGATAGTATTAATAAGAATATAGTATCTAGGAGTACCCCTACGGAATATAAGGAGAGGGCTAGAGGGATAGGGATACGGCGAAGTACTCTAACTATAACGGTAAGTACCCGTCGTAGTTAGCTACGTGCGCGAAACGTAAATAGGTTACTAAATATATCTACTTAATCTAGATAAAGGGAGTAAGGTAGCTATAAACGATGCGATCTACTACTATTTCTCTCTTTACTATAATACTACTACTATAGACTACCTCCTTACGAGGAAGTAGTTAGAAATAGTAAACCATCCCGAGAAAGCTAATAATAGGACGGCCCTAAGGAATTACTAAGGCCGCCACCGTATAAGGATAGTCGTGTCTTAGAGGAACGAATATATAGGCCTATATATTCCCTAGCACCTAATAAGAGACTAAGATATACTCCTAATTATATAGGTAAACGTATAGTATAAACGTAAGAACTAGGCGATACTCCTCGAGGAGACCGGAGCTATAATACTCGCTATATAGGAGCTATATAAACACTACTAGACGAATAAACTAATAATATACCTAGGATATTATATAATACACCCCCTAGGACTAGAGAGGAGAGTCCTCTTCTATGTCTATAAGTCTATTCTACTCTTATTATAGTTGTATACTAAACGGGATAACCTCCGGATAATACTATACCTCTAGACGAATATTGGACCCCTCCATATATATAATATATATAATTAGAACTAATCGCTTTAGGCGGATAATATACTATGATGAGCCATCGCTACGTATGTCCCTTTTTGTAAATGGCTATGTCCTTAGTATAGTAGTCGCGACGAACTCACAAGTATCTCTCCTAGGTATTATGAGTTCTCTTTGAACGCACGACTTCTTATTAGTTCTCTTTTACGATAGGACGGGTCTATATAATACTCTTAATCGATTCATTAATAGCTAAGCCTAATAATTAATACCTATAGAGGCCCATGAACATAAGGAAAGGTCGAATTATCGAATATTAGTAATGGGGGAAGCGTGTCATTTAGAATGACCAAGGAAAACGCCCTCCTTAAATATATAATAAGCCATGTAATCGAGCTAGGGACACATATATATAGGGCTATAGGAGCGGCCTTCTACATATACCTCCCCGGCCTATAGAACTACTACCCTTAGTAGTATAGTAATTGTATAAGAAACCGTGTGAAGAACGCCTAAAAGAAAGACCTTAATATGAATAAAATGCGCCCCTAGTAAACCTCTCGGCGCGGGTAAATCTTAGCCCGGATTATTAGTTAAGGGCAGCCCTTAACTAATAATCAGGTAGGTTTTTAGGCGCCTAATCTTAGTACTCGAGGTCGCGAGCTAGCTCCTAAAGAATCGTGTCGCTTATCTTAGAGAGGTTAGATTCCTCCTCGTCGGATAGTTCGTTAGGCCTCTCCTATCTATAGAAGTTCTCTTCGACGTTATCTAGGCCCGTGTTAGGCTTAAATTTCTTAAAATTAATTGGCTGCTTGGCGGCGCGCGCCTCGTTAAATTCCTTCTAGAACGACCTATCCCTATAGACTAGCCTTTCCTACCTTGCTATTTTCTTAAAGGTCTCCACGAATACCCTCGAGCCCTCCTTAAACCAGGCGTCTACCTTAGCTTTAAGTTGTTAAGGACTTGCGTTAAGCCACGCAGCTGCCTCTTCTTTCACCTTCTAGCTATCCTATCTTTTACGGCCGACTAATGCGTCGCTAACGGCGTTAAAACTCGGGAGTTAAACCGCGGCTGGGAAGGCAAAAGGAATCGCGCCGTATTTATTAGAAAATCCCGACGGAGACGTAGGTCCCGGAGTTAAATTCCTGTGAGCTACTGTGAGTTGTTCCCATGTGCCCATTTTAGGCACTTCCATTGTTATATGATTAGGGCCAATCGCGACATACCATGGAAGTATCGTGCGTCTTCCACCCTTTACGGGACCCTAGGCGCCGTGTATTATTAGTGGGCTAGAGATGCGTACTTTAAGGGACTGGTAGGGGACCGGGACGAAGGGACTAAATCGTTTCCTATCGTCCGCATTATAGATCTTGTCATTAATAGCCGTAATTATACCGTTTCGATTGACCCCCTCGCGGAGCTTGGCCTTCGACTACTATTCGT